ATTTATAGGGATGTGGGGGGAGGGGTGCACGGTAAGGGGGTCTGGCCCACCGTGTATATCTGACTTGCCAATATTTTCAATATTATTTTAGGTAATATCTGATTTGGCTCCAGTGTAGAAGATGAAATCAATTACATACCCAGTCTCGCAGTTACACAGAACGTGTTTTTTTATTACAAATCTTGCTCTTTTAGATGAAATAAATTGTTAAAAAATAAGCTCTCTTCGAAGAATAAGAGGCTTTCATCAATGAATACATTTTTAAATGGCAAAAATGATTCTTGAACCCTTTTCTAATCTTATCAATGGATGGCATTATTTTGAATAGCCTATCTCTTTCCTTTGTTCGGTTATTCGAAAAATGTAGCATTCTCATTATCATGAGTTATCTATCTCTAGAAATTATTTTTCCTAAAATTGGGGAATGTAATAAAGAGTTTTTGAACCAATAATAACTAGAGTCAGCCAAAGAAAGGCCAGAGCAGGTAGTCACCCATAACGGTTCATGAATTCTACAAGAGAAGCTCCAAAGTAAATCCCCACACCGTCAGTAGGCACTATTTAAGATGCTTTATTTCACTATAAAACAAGGTCGTGTCGGCTATATTCGACATTACTACTGCTCCGTGGCACTACAGACCTATGCTGTCCTTGGCCTTCTCTATGAGTTTTCATTAGGTCAATCTACCTCGGCAGCCTCACGCCAATCGTGCGTGCCCAGCATCTGCGGGCATTGCTCGCTACTTCATCCTCCCATCTTAATCGATCGAGCCCTGCCTCTTCCTCTTGTCTCATACAGTTTCCTGTCCAGCAAATTCCTTGAAATTTCCTCCATTGGTATTTGTGCAATTGGGCCAATATAATGCAGTCTGTCCAATTTTGTATACATCATTAAATCCACCCCTCTGTAGAGCCTAAGAACCTCCACATTTGTTCTCCAATTGTAACCCTCCTTCATAGTGCCAGATATATAGCAAAGAATTTTCCTTTTGAAAATAAAGAGGGCCTTTTCCTCTGAACTTGTGAGAGTCAAGGACTCCAAGATGTAACATAGGACAAATCTGATGAGGGTCTGTATGAAACTGACACTTGGTATGGCGGGATAACAATGAACTAATGAAACTATTTAGAACTATATACAATACAAATAAGAAATGACCCAAAATAATTGCTGCTTAGCTAAAAAATTAAATTCCTGTAATAAATGATCACCAAGTCTCCAATAAATAAATGTAAATTACAACTGTTATTTAAATCAATTTAAAATATATATACACACAAACACTCCCACGCATATGTACACACAAATGTATGCATACATTATATATATATATATATATTATATATATATATATATAGAGAGAGAGAGAGAGTAGAATAGAATAGAATAGAGGACTTATTATATATATATATATATATATATATATATATATATATATATATATATATAAATGAACATACATCTTCTCAAAGTTACTTACTATTGTGATGAAAAAAAAAAAAAAAAGAAATTACATATCTATATATACATAACTGCACAATTTATAAATAACAGGCTATCTAATAGAAAAATAATTTAATACAAAATGTAATAATATTTACAGTGATTCATATAATAATATGCTAACACTAAGATAAAATAAAATCTCAGGATTAATTGTGGTATAAAGGTAAAAAAAAGGAACTATATATACGTACTTATTCATATTGGTACACAGAGACAAAAAGTATAAAATATAAACTTATAAACCCGAAAGAAAAAGCACAACCTGAGGTGAAGAGAAATACAAATAAATAGTAAAAATAATAGTCAAGATGGTTGGCGAACTTATTTGAAGGTTGACAGTGAAGAGGCATGATGGATGTTATGTGGCAAAGAATTCCAGTAGGCAACGGAGCGGGCTAAGAAGGAATGTTCATAGGTTTTTGTCTTGTGGAATGGAATATAGAGGTCAGAATCACGGGATCTCGTTTTTATTGAGTGGACTAAAGGTTTCGGCTGGAGGAGACAGAAGATATAGGAAGGGTGCTGAGAGTTGATCGTTTGATATAAGAAATTTCCAAGGAAGTATAGGCGGCGGGAAGAGCCACTTTGACTCGGCATATAGGTGGAACACATGAGACCATCTCGAAGTGCCAAAGACAAATCTTAAAAAACTTCATGATTTTCTTCAATCTATCCTCAAGCTCCACGAGAGGCCACCGTATAACAACGCACAGCCATAGTCAAAGTAGGGGAAAATCAATGAGGAAACGAGGAGCTTGCGGATAGGTTGTGGGAGATGCTGACGAGAATGATGAAATAGTTTAGGTGTACCAATTGACCTTCTGGAGATATGAGCAATATGGAGTTTCCATGATAGGTTTTGATCAATGGTAATTCCTAAGTTTTTTACAGAGGAGGTGAAGGAGATTGGTTGGTCATTAATAATAAAGGAAGGAAGGATGGAATTGGATCTAAGGAGGGAGTTGGAACCTATAAGAATGGCCTGAGTTTTTGTTGTGTTTAAGTTAAATTTATTCAAGTTTGCCCAGGCACTGATCCTATCTAGGTCTTTCTGAATATTCGTAAACGCTTCTAATAACTCAGTGGGCGGAAAGGAAAGATAAATTTGGGAGTCATCAGCATATAGATGGTATGAACAAAGGTGGATTGAACTAGGAAGGTCATTGATGTAAGAATTAAAAAGGATAGGAGAAATACTTGAACCCTGGGCTACTCCATGAGACAAAGTGAGGAAAGAAGATAAGGGTTGATCCGGAATACTATATACATATATATGCATACATAACACATCGCTCAACGATCAATTTCCACCCTCACATTATTCCATCACTTCCGCCATCTTCTACAGGAACCTACCTGGAGATTCTAGTTTCTTCTCTCATCATCCCCCACTTTGCCTACGGCTGCGTGGTGTACGGTGGTCTCTCAGTGACAGACTGAGTAGATTTATGAATAGCTTTGTCAGATTTGTTATTGGAACCCCGAGATATTCCGTGTCTCCCATAGCTATGCCGAGTTAGGGTGGCTTTTCCCTTCCTTCCGTACAATATTTCCTAGGCACATTCCTTTATCAAATTATCAACAGTCGTTGTCCCTCCTATACCTATGATCTCCAATCCAAGTCCTCCGTCCACTCTCTCATCACAAGATCCTGATCATGAGAACTTTATACTCCTTTTCACAGATCTTGCCTCTTTTCAAAACTCCTTCGTAGTCCGCTCTGCTTTATACTGAAATTCCTCACCTCTAAAAATTCGACATGCTCCCTCCCTTTCCACTTTTAAAACCCTTCTATTCCAACTTCTTTTCTCGCAATAGTAAAAAAAACGGCTAACCACATAATAAGTAATAATGTGAAAAACAGTATTTTTTATCTTAATTTATTTGATTTTTTTTTTTTGTAAATATTATTTATGACCTTTATATATAATATATGCATGTATATATTTTGTTGTATGTTTATTTCAATGTGAATTGAAATTTTCTTTTATTCATAGGAGATTTGTTGCTTATTTATTAGAGGACCATATTTTATATTCTACTTTTTTTGTTGGTTTTTTTAATATATTTTGATTATTATATTCTTTAATCTTTTTAACCATGCAGCGATTATTTTGTTTCGTAGTCTTTTTAATTTCTTATTTGTATTGTATACATAGTTTATTTACTTAAACTTTTTTCTAGCTACTTTTTAATGTAACAAGTTTTTTGGTCAGATGTTATTCTATTTTTCTGTAATATTCTATTATTCTTAAGGGACTTCGTCCCAGAATAAAGTTATTTTTTATTCTATTCTATATATATATATATATATATATATATATATATATATATATATATATATATAGTGTAGAGACAAAGAGGCAAAACAATAAAAAAAAAGTGGCCACTAAATGCCTGGATGAAAAGAATATGGTTGGATATGAAATTGTTAAATTAAAAAGATAGCAAATTATAAAGGTCTATTCGACTGAATTTATATATTTTGGTACTCATAGAATGTACAATTTTGTGCTTTATAGGTTTTATTCTGTGAGCCATTTTTTTTTTAGAGTATTGCATTCCGAGCTGCAGACACATATATAGTACTATATCTCATTTATTGACATAGTTGGAAGAAAAATCTGAACATACAAATTAAACGAATTATTAAATTGTAATACTCATTCCACTCACAATCTAATGCTCTTTAATTTGTTATATCATTTGTTTAAATTAATTTGTTTTATACACATATATTAATATATACTCATAAATACAAATACATTTTTTATTTTTTTAAGATATGGCTCAAGAGGTCCTGTTGAAGGAGATGAAATGACTAAAAAAGGAAATTATAAATATTATGGTTCTTATAAGTGGTTACAGTAATTCATATGGTTATTTGTTGCATTCCAATTTTTGTTTTGGTTAAACTTTAATTGATATTATCTGATATTATCATTCCTTATGTTGGCATATTATAATTTTATTATAAAGAGAAATTGATATAACTGTATTTTTCTATTAAAGGTTTATAATATTGTTTATTAATGTTTTAAATAAACGCTTTCTTATTTAACACTTGAGTTAGTTATTATTTTGCCTAATATGTCACTCAAAATTTAATATAATGTCGGATACATATTGCTACTGAAATTAAGAAACGTTCACTTGTCAGGAGAAGGGAAGAGAAACTTGTAAATTATGACTTAAAATAACCATAAGCATATAAAATATTCATTTAGTTATATTTTAAAAAATATATTAACTTTATTTTTACATGGTAAATCTTTCTTCCGTCACAACTTATTTGCAATGCATTGGTAGCATAGGAAATTAAAATTAGGGGAAAAAAATTACTATCACCTTCCATGGAATGGTTGTGTATTTAAAACAATAAAATATATAATGGAGAAGACTTATGGAAGGATTACTGAATTAAAAAAGCTGAAATCAAGATTTTGATAGATTATTTTAAAATATATCTTAATATTCAGAATATTTATTTATACTAATCAGAAAATGAATAGTATTCTTCATCACTGAAATAACCGCTTTTTATTTCTTGCGTTTCTGGGTAGTTTTTTCATTTTTAAGGGTTTCCTGAAACAAAAAAGGTTAAATTTCATATAATAATACTTCATTTTTTATGTAGAAATAAAATTTCTATTATATAAAACAGTTTTTAGTGACATGTCATATTTTATTATACATAAACAAAGACACCACACTTCTTATTCCCAGATTATTTCTTCCTTATTATAGTTACAAACTGGCAATAAGAATAATTATAATTATATGATAATATAAATTGGCACTGCTGCGATGTATAATATAGATTTTTAAAGAAATTAAAAATTTGTCTGAACTGTGGTTTCATTCCGTTTATTTTATGTGGATAAAAAATAATATAATCTGAACTACAGATACATGTAAATTACAGTTATACAATTTGAGCAACATGTACTACAAAATTAAATGAACAGTTGTATAATTTGTAAAATGGGGGTTGGTCCACCGTTAAGCGGACAGGGGGTACCCCTCTAGTAATTTATAATTAAAATGCAATATATAATTTTATCTGATGATTGAATTGATAATTGTGAAAAATAAATTAAATACTGTTCATATTATTTTTTGATAAAAGTCCATTAACCTCTATTCTGATTGAAGGCTGGTTGAAAATGAGTGAGTTGTGATGCATAATTCTTAAAACTGAATATATTTCAAGAAGGTAACTGGAAGTGTACTGAACTGGACGATGGTTTGGAACCAACTGAACTGTAACTTCCCCACCACTACACCTCTTATTTCAACTTATAATCCGCATCAAATTCAAAATCAAATTGAATATGGTAAAATCCCAACAATACATATAATATGTAATAATAAATAAACAAATTAAAAAAAAAAAAGTGGAGGCACTAACCCAGTACTTTGGCTACAACAGCATCAGTACACACTGGATCATTTCTAAATGGGAATGGTAACACTTTACCCCAAGAAACACAAGGAATTGAGATTCTTGTACATTTATTACATCATAGCTCCGGCTCCTCCAAATAGGAATGAGCATAGCGCTAATTATCTCATACAAAACACATTATTATGAAACCTAAAATAATCTAAAAAAAATTGGACTGTCTTTACGAGGTAATGACCCTGGCTATGTATCACAGACACTATAATTGTAAATTGGATGATGGAATGTTCAGAGCTTATACGGACCAGGAGCTGCAAAAACTGATAGTCAACAAACTAAAATGGGACAAGTCAACAGACTAAAGATGGCCAGAAGGTGGTGAAACCACTATTGATGGCCAAACACTATTCTACATTGAGACAAATGACAAAAATCGAACAGCTGACACTAGATTTACAGTTAGTCAAGTGGGAAGGAAATCAACCATAAACTTCACTCTTATTAAGCAAAATTATTAACGTGTTGGCACCAACCAAATATTAAGATGAAGAGGGGTGAAGGATGATTTTTACGATCAGTTACAAACTGTTGTAGGTAGGCTCTATAAGTTGAAGGTGACTTCAATGCTAAGATAGGACAAGAATCCCAGTTTAGACCAATTATCAGAGCCCAACACCTTCACAAACAAAGCAATGACAATGGAATAGTGAGATGTCTTAAGTAAAATCCTAAAGTAAAAAGCAAATAACTTTAGCTGAAGAATTGATTCGGACCCTTGAACTCAGAGGACACTCACGGTGAACCAATGCCTGAGACATTGGAGAAGGAATAGCTAAGCAAGTAATACGTGTTCAATAGAAACAAAAAGCTAAGAAGTGGTTCACAAAAAAATGAAAAATGTGGTGGATGAAAGAAGAAAAATAAAAGTTCTCTGCCTAACTTTTTTACTTTCACTTTAGGTATAGGTGTTTCAGCGTTAAGTGGCCAAACTGCAAAAATGAACTAAGGATCTCAAGACAAGAAAAACATTTCCTCTGAAGGTATGTCTGCAAACGCTTTGTTTAGGAGCTATTCACACCTAAAGATTTTTGTTATGAATTATTTCTTAATAATGACTACTATGATTAAGTTGAACATATTACACTACAACTGAGAAGAAGGGACATGTGGCTTTAATTAGATGGTTGTCCTGCACATTACGCAAGAGGTCCACGACAATGGCTAAATGTTAATTATCCTAATCAATGGATTGGCCGTGCAGTACCAGTGGCTTGGCCTGTACGCACTCCAGACCTGACACTACTGCATTTTTTAGTTTTGGAGTGACATTAAACAAAAAGTCTATGCAAATCCGGTCAATGACCTTAATTCCTTATGAAGAAGGATAATTGAATCTTGTGAAACAATAACACATATCCAGTGCCATTCTGCCCATGCTGCTGTTGAAGAAAGATGCCGAGCCTGTCTTAATGCTCAAGGAAATTACTTTGAACATTTAATATGAATTTAATGTTTACGTTTGATTAATAAATAAGTTTTAATTACTTGATATAATGTAAATAATTCATAAAGGCTAAGACTGGTGGTATTTGGGGAAGAACGAATGGATCTCCCCAGAAGTTATGAGTAAGTCAATCAAATCAGCCTACTTGGATACGCGGAAGCGACAAGATTAACATTTTAATTAAAATGACCAACTGAAATTGGTGCACAATGGACCCATTAGGGGTCGACGTGCTCATGGCCAACACAGAAAAAAAAAAAATTCATAACAATGAAAATCTGTAGGTGTAAATATCTTCTAAACAAAGCGTTTACGGACATACCTTCATAGAATTTTTTTTTCTTATTTTGAGGTCCTTAATTCATATTTTTAGTTTGACCACTCAATCCTGAAACATCCTGTATAGTAAGGGTAAGTATTGTGACATGAAAATTTTTGAATCTGAGTTTTCAACGGAAATTCACGTTTTGAGGTCCCCTGAATCAAAATAACCAAATCCCGCAAAATGGTCTGAGTGTGTGCGTGTGCGTGTGTGTGTATGTATACGAACAGCTTAGCTCAAAAACGAAGTAGTATGAAACTGAAATGGCATATTTGAGGTTTTTATAATCCTTGGATGTTAAAACAATATTTTCGTTAAAATCAGCACACCGGAAATGGTACTTTATATATAATTGGTAATTGGTTTACTGTCGTGGATAATGAAGAGAAGAATAGTTGGGGTGTTCAGTCAAAAAAGAAGGCAAAAATAAATGATAATATTTATTTTTTACATATGCCAACGTTTCGACCTGAAGTTCAGGCCTTCATCAGGGCTAAGAAAATAACCAGATAACAAGGTATGAGCAAAATATAGTAGATAAAAAAGATAATAAAAAATAAAAAAATTAGAAAAATAAAATAGATAAATATAAAGTAAAATGAAATTGTTAGAATAATGACTAAGAACTAAGAGATAAATAATAATAAAAAAAACGTTACAAAGTGTGGAATGATGAAGTAGGCATAATCAAAAAGGGGGGGGGGGTACTTCGGTACTTTATATAATTGATTTAACACATTTCTACGATTTTCTCAAAAACTGCTTTAACGATTTTGATTAAACTCAGTATATCAGTGTATTATTAAGCACTTTTAATTATAATATAGGTTTTATTTTCATTGATGTTCTCTAGCAGGGCTTAAATGGCTAATTTTCAATATTAGTTTCCTCTAAAGTACCTTTAATTTTTTATATTTGTAATAATTAACCATTTCACATTAATATTTGATACAAAAAATAGTTAAATATAAAATATGAAAGAATTTGATAATTAAATAAAGGAGAAATAAGAAATTGTAACTTATTTCTTATTTGTAACTATAATAAATTATAGTTGTAATAGAGGAATCAAAGGAATACGAGCTTGTCCGAGCTTACTCAAAAGATTACAACAGGCTTCCATATGTAACATGAGCTTAATATAATAAGGACTCTGACAATATTATGTACATATACATATGCGGTTTTCATATATGCTTTCATTGGTATTATTTAACATTTAATTCATAGAAAACAGCGATATAAAAATTAAAATTTGTCTATATAAGGGTATTTAAACAAATAAAAATACCCACAATGAAACGTAAATAAATATAGCGTCTATAATTTTTACTTTTATTTCCCCTTTTCTGAAAATACTTATTTCTGCTAAGAAGAGGGTGGTAAGTGACAGTTGTGTGATGCGCACACCAGATTTTTATATACCTAATGCAGTGTTAGGAATCAAATAATTAATTAAAGTATTTCATAGCGAATCAATTGGCAGCAAAAGAAGAGTGAATATTTGTCAGTTCTCACTTTTTTCAGAAGTAATAACATACTCATTATTTTATGTACCTCTTGGTAAGTTAATAAGTCAATATATTTGTTCTTCCTATAATTATCATGAATAATTGTATAAATTAAAAAATATAAAACAAACAAAATAAGGCAAAATATAAATAAATAGTCATGCCACTATACAATGCAATTTTGTTAAGAACCTTGAACTTTTATTTTTAAAAATATTCTATATATTGAATAAAATTATTATAGGCAGATGCATCAGGTGATGCATTCTGGATCCAGTCATACTCATCTGCATTAATCTATCCAATCCCCGGGGTGACATGTGGGCCATTTTCAAATTATGGCTGGTATAATCCATGTATTCATTATTTTAGTTTTGATCCTGAGGATAGATATGTTGGAAGGATAATCTTCCATCTCCTTTTCCATGACTTTATTAGTCTGTTTTTTACTTTCTTACTCACTATTTTAACATACTATCCAATCCCAAGATAAACACTTTTTTTTTAACCTGTTAAATATGCAGTACTTCATTGAACATATTTTTAGAGTCGCTTGCTGTTCCTTTTATCTCACAAATAGAACTGCACATTTTTCAATACCAAGTGATTACATATGTATTAAATCACTGAAATGAGTTATCATATTTACCAGAGCCTGCAACTGAGATTTATTCTTTGCATAAATTTAAAGTTTGCGCCAAGGTCAAAAACATGGATTTTGCATCTCAGTCATATCCCATACAAGAAAATAAAAAGAAATCTTTCACTCTCATTCAATGCAATTTATGATGTACAAGGTTACTGGGCTAGTAATCGACCACTTTGGATTGGCAGACGATGTTTTCGGTGACCTCCAGTCAACAGTTTTTGTTCCAGTCAAGTAGTTTTGTGAGGTGTAAGAGAAAATTTGCTTAAAATGTCACAACAAAATTTTGAAATTTTTGATGGGTTAAAATGTGCCTAAAATCTTAAATCAACCTGTCTGAGCTGGCAGACGAACATTTTGCTAATACCTAAAAGGAGTACTATCAGCCTAGTAGGTTGAAAATATGTATAAAATTCTACGGCCTTTTCACCGCTGGCTCTAGGTCTATAAATACTTTGTCACTTGTGGGGCTGGATTAATTTCTTCTCTTAAGACAAGTGTACTGCATGTAGCCGCTCACTGTTACACTCTATGATCAAACAAATATTAGGTAGATAGTAGTTTATCAAAGAACTGACCAGCTTGGTTGCTTATACATGCATACAAGACAGAAGTTGACTGCTCAAGTAAATAACTCAAACAGAGGTTTACCAAAACATTACTGATAAGGTATTTTTACAACAGATAAACAACATTCATTGGTTAAAAAAGTCTTAAGTGTTTAAATGATGTATGATCCTCTGTTTAAAAAGTGAGTTGTTAAATCAGCCATAAATCATGTAATTAGTTAAAATAGTTTGATAAATTTATGCTATAAAAAAGAAAATATAAATTGATTTGGATTATATACAGTAAAATTAGGTAATTGATTACTGTTTATACCTCTTCATTATTTTCTGTAATTGTTTCACCACCCTCACTTCTAAAATTTTCAGGAAACAATTCTAGATTAACAAAGTTATTTCTGTCTTCTTCATTATGGATTTTCTAAAAGAAAGAAAAACTAATTATAGTCAATATTAAGACTAATAATTCAATAACATTAAATTAATATTACAGGAACAATAACAGTTAATTTGATTCCAATTTACAATAGAATTACCTCAAATCCCTTCTTTATCTTTTTTTTAGGAGGATTTCTCAGACCAAAAGCATTTTTTGGACACGAATAACTGAGGTGTCCATAGTCTCCACATTCATAACATCTAGTTTTATTAGGATAAATCCGCTTTTGATTAAATTCTGTTGTTCTTCCATTATCAATTGCAATGCTACAACGCATTGTACGCCCACAAATCTATAATGAGTATTTAAAATTTCAAAAGCTATAAAAAAATAATATTAGTAATACGTACTAAATACAATAATTTTAATATAAAAGTATACTAACAAGAAGTGTAAAAAAACAAAAGAAAGTTTTTAATTTAATGAGAATTAATAAACAATATATTCATAGGATATTACCATATTCAGTTTTTACTAACAACTTAACTTCTAATGCAAATCTTCGAATAATAGACCATTTTATCAGAAATTCATTATTTATCATATAAGATAAATTTTATCCAATTCTAAGGTCATTTATGAATATATTTATTGCAATGGCTTAAGATCAGAAGAAACCCTCAGGAAAATTTATACAAAGTAAGTAAGTACGCAAGCAGACATACACAGACTGAGGAATGGAACATTACATAGATCGTAATGGAACAATGACTTCAGTATTATGTTGGATCTATATTGATGTAGGATCTAACCAATATATCAAGGTGATTCCCAAACTACGAGCCAATTCCAGCAGGTAAAATTTTAATTTTCAACTTTTCTGATATTACATAAAAATATTGTGATAATATCTTGGAACAATTAGCATTTGAAAATATGCCTTACAAAGATCAATAGTTATTTTTAGCCTTAACATTTAGATCAATGTTAATTAATTACGAAGAGAAGAATAGTTGGGGTGGTCAGTCAAAAAAGAAGGCAAAAATAAATGATAATATTTATTTTTACATAAGCCGACGTTTCGACCTGAAGTTCAGGCCTTCATCAGGGCTAAGAAAATAACCAGATAACAAGGTATGAGAAACATAAGTAGTGATGGTAAAATAAAAAAATAAATAAATATAAAGTAAAATGAAATTGTTAGAATAATGACTAAGAACTAAGAGATAAATAATAATAACCGTTACAAAGTGTGGAATGATGAAGTAGGCATAATCAAAAAGGGTGACATAAGTGTTACAATGGGAATCTTAGAATAAAATGTAAAACATAAAAAAGAAATATGAAGTTATATAAGAAATGAAAATAAATAGTAAAATTAAGACATTGAGAATGGAGTAGTTAGAGAGAAAATTGAGATATTGTAAAGTCTATCAAGATGTACAGACAATGTATAATATAATAAAGAGTTAAAAACAGAGAAAAGGAATGAAAGGAAGGAGGGAAGAAATTGAGAAAGCTGAAATAAGAAAGAAATAAAAGAAGTACTACCTGTCTCCTTAAGTGTTGCAGGGAGAATAAAAGTCGTTGCAAGGGATGGGGAGAGAGAAGAGATGTGTAGGAGGCGTCATCTCTAACGGTTATCCAACGAAGTTTGAACTAAAGCACCGGAAGCGTAAATAGGTACGAGAGATATATTACTCAGAAATATTATGGAAAATTGAACGAAAGTTAATAGAAAGTGGATGAAAAATTCAAAAGAAAAATAACTGTTGAGTAATAAGGGAGAATAATTGAAATAAAAATATATCATATATATATATATATATATAATATATATATATATATATATATATATATATATATATATATATATACATACATACATATACATATATACACACACATACATATATACACACACACCTGTATACATATACATATATACATATTTAGGTTTCTGTAAGTAGGATAGTTTATGAGTTTAGAATTTAAAAGATTTTTTAGGTGTAGGTTAAATTTGGTTTTTAATGATGAGGTGGGATCACGGGATGTAGGAGAGTGGAACGGTCTGATGGGAGTAAAGTCATTTTGTCAGTATATTCTGTACGGTCCATAGTTACAGTTTTGTTGCTTTTATCAGCTCTGGTTATGATTATATTATCATGGGATTTTAAGAAGGATCGGGTAAAAGAGAGGTCTTTGAAAAATTCAGGAGAAAAAGAAGAAGAGGAGAGCGGTGGGTGTAAGAGATAATTGGAAATAATATTACAGATGGAAACGTGTGACAACTCCTTATTTTCTTTTGAAGTGGTGAAAAAATCGTCTGCGTAAATATATTCGAGGTCAGTGATAAGTTGTGGAATAATTTTGACAGAAGTGTTGGGTGTGGAAAAATTAGATCCTAAACTTAAAATATTAGTAATTTTGGAGGGGATGTCAGTGGAAGAGATATTGTCTACCCATTCTTCTTTTCCTGCAGGATAAACTTTGTTAACTTCTAAAGAAAATAAGGAGTTGTCACACGTTTCCATCTGTATATTATTTCCAATTATCTCTTACACCCACCGCTCTCCTCTTCTTCTTTTTCTCCTGAATTTTTCAAAGAACTCTCTTTTACCCGATCCTTCTTAAAATCCCATGATAATATAATCATAACCCGAGCTGATAAAGGCAACAAAACTGTAATTATGGACCGTAGAGAATATACTGACAAAATGACTTTACTCCTATCAGACCGTTCCACTTACTCTCCTACATCCCGTGATCCCACCTCATCATTAAAAACCAAATTTAACCTACACCTAAAAAATCTTTTAAATTCTAAACTCATAAACTATCCTACTTACAGAAACTTTATCTCCTACAATTCAGTTGCTCCCCATTTTTATGGACTTCCTAAAATCCACAAACCCGGCACCCCACTGTGTCCGATCACTTCCAACATTAATTCTCCTTCTGTTAAACTTAGCAAATTCTTACTATCTTCCTTACAAATCTTCAGCCACAACAACCCTTATGATGTACAAAACTCATTCCATCTCCGTGAACAGCTACTCTCCTTTAACATTCCAGACAATTTCATTCTTTGCTCCTTCGATGTTGAAAGTTTATTTACGAACATACCCATAGACAAGGCACTTACTATAATAGACGACAATTGGACTATCATTGAACCTCACACCTCACTTAACCGCTCCTCATATCTCGAATCCCTTCATCTATGCTGTAAATCAGGCTACCTCACTTTCCAAGGACAATTTTTTAACCAAATCTCCGGACTAGCAATGTGTAACCCCCTCGCTCCCGACATCTCCAACATCGTTCTCAATGATCTTCTAGACTCCATTATCCCTCTTTACCCTGACAATATCATCTTTATTCGAAAATACGTAGACGACCTCCTCCTAATCATCAATCCAAATAAAATTCCCGATATCCTATCACATTTTAACTCTTACCACCCCCGCCTCAATTTTAAAGTACAACGCGAACTCAATAATTCTCTCCCTTTTTCGACCTTCTAATCATTAAAAATCCCAATAACACCATATCCACAGACTGGTACACTAAACCAACTTACACTGGCAGACTCCTAAATTTCCATTCTAAACATCCCTACCACCAAAAAATTAACGTTGCGAAAAATCTCATCCACCGTAGTCTCTCCCTCTCTGATCCCCAATTTCATGTTACCAATATCAAACGCATAAAACAGATCCTGTCAAACAATAATTTTCCTCTCCATGTCATTAACAAACTTATAACAGACCACAATAACCGCTCTTCCTTAATCTCAACTTCCACTAATTCTCCACAACCCATTTCAGCCCCTATATACAGATCTCTAACTTATATTCCTAACCTTTCAGACAACATCAACAAAGTTTTATGATCTACTAACCCTAACTTACAACTTGCATTCAAATCTCACAACACACTCTCTAAATTATACACATCCCTAAAAGATCCTGTTCCAAGATGTTCACACCACTCATATCGTTTACCGTATTCCATGTTCTACCCCCAATTGTTTTTCATCCTATATTGGTGAAACCAAAAATCTCGTAAAAGACCGCATAACCCAACACAAATATTCTGTATCCTCTCATAATTTTACCGCCTCCAACTTATCCGAACATTCTCTCTCCCTCAATCATTCATTTGATTTCGACAAAACATCCATCCTTGCCACAGTTCTCAACCATGACAAACGACTCATTTCTGAAACCCTCCACATCCAGCTTCAACCAAAGACAGTGAATCTAAAAACTGACAAACAGAACTTTTCTTTAGCCTACTCCCAAATTCTAAATTTATTAAAACCTCCATAGTTATATTCCTTACCTTTTTGCTGACAACTTCCATATATATATATATATATATATATATATATATATATATATATATGTATGTATGTATCTATGTATGTATGTATGTGTGTATGTATATAGGATTAATATAGTTTATTTAGGCTTATTCGGTTTATTCTGTCTGAGGACTATCCTGGAAAGGGGACAAAAATACAAGCTGAAAACTCAACACCTCTTTGTCGATTTTAAATCAGCCTACGACACGATCGACCATCAAAAGCTAAACGATCCATTACGCCAGTTCAACATCCCCTCCATAAGGCTGACCAACTTAACAATGGACGAGGTAGTATGTGTTGTTAAAATAAAGGGCAACGTATCGGAGGAATTTTCTATGAGAAGGGGTGTAAGGTAGGGTGATGACCTGGCATATAGGGCCTGTTTCTCTTGGCCCTAGAAAAAGCAGTTTGTGAGTCCCAAATACAAACATCTGGCACGATCTTCAATAGGACTGTTCAGTTCCTCGCTTTAGCCGACGATATAGACATTATTGGACGTTCTCGGCAAGCAGTTGCACAATCATTGATATCTTTTTTATTCGTAATTATGATACCAATGTCGTTCGTCATAGTGTGGTTTGTTTTCTTGATGTCTGTCCCCATCATAGTGTGGCTTGCTTTCATGATGTCTGTTTCCATCATTGTTTTTAAAATTTGAGGTTGTGATTATTATTATTATATCTAGGAGAATCGTTATTATGACTTGTGTGTATTGTCCGATTGTTTTCGTATTTTAGACGGCCTTTTGGGTATAAATCTTCCATAATTATTCAGCAATGATTATAAATGCTATTTTTCATATCAATCAAATCGTGAATAATAACGTGATTAAGGGAATCTTTAAGCCTAGCAGGTAAATATCTTATAACATGATCTATTACCAGACCTTTTTGCGATTTTATTTCCGGTTCTTTATTTGTAACATCGCTGTCAACCATAATTTGATTTTGAATGAGGATTTCCTAAGGTAAAACTCTATTTATGTAGTCAATAGGATGTTCATTTTTGTACATCCTGATTTGAGATACTTCGTATTGTAAGTATGATGCCATATGTGAATCTCTAAAGTTGTTTATTAAATGTGTTTTAACTGGTCAATGGATGTAAAGTCTTCATACATGCATATTTGTTGTTCGTCAGCAATTATTCATGATAACGTGATTTGAATAAGTTTATTTTCGTTTTGAGCTTTATTAGTAATAGATTCTTCACAAACATTATTGTAAATAATTTTGAGGAGTTTTAGAAAAGCAATTAATTGAGTTGGATCACCATTATAATATGGAAAATGGCCATAATCTTCTTTTGTCATATCATAATTTGTCATTTTATTATCAGTACCAGTTATATCTTTATTATTAAATAAAATTATGCTTAATTTACTTTTTCTAGTTTTATTGCTAGTTAACATGAAATTAAATAACAATTAAGACTAGTATACTACACAATACCTCAAATCTATGTGAGAGAAGAATGTTTGCCTCATGTCTATTACTATATTTTGGGTTTTCGCTTATATCAGGAAAACTATACATCGTATGGACAAAGACCTTCTATACAAAATTAAAGCTGATAAAATTTGAAATATGATTGATTATATACCTTTTTTCGCTACCTTGCTTTGTTTCCGAGATATCCGTCCTCAACTATCGCTGATTTGAAAAAAAAAAAGTTTACCTTATATTTTTTACTGTATTTGACTAGCTAACTCTAGATTGCCTCATTAGGAGATTAAGTCATGGGGGAAGAAAGTTTTTAATAATTAAATTTTCTTCAAGAATATATTATATATATAGTTTATCTTTAATGGTTCAAAAGTTTTATCAATTATAACTTTATACGTCAATTCCAAGAATTTGCAAACAATTTTTTTTATAATATTCATAGTTTTTTAAATATATATGTATATAAGAGTATCTACGTAGAGATTTAGATGTATAGAGAGTTAGAGCAGTATAATAACGTATATTATAAAAACATATTTTTTTCAGCAAATTCTCAGAATAAAGCTATACTTAATCTAACTTTTGAATCGCTGAAGATAAACTAGTAAAATAATATATATTCTTGAAGAAAATTTAATTATTAAAAACTTTCTTCCTCATTACTTAATCGTATAACCAAGCAATCTAGAGTTAGCTAGTCAAATACAGTAAAAAATATGAAGTAAATTTTTTTTTCAAATCAGTGATAGTTGAGGACGGATATCTCGGAAACTAAAGTGATGTAGCGAAAAAAGGTATATAATCAATCATATTGCAAATTTTATCAGCTTTAATTTTGTACAGAATGTCTATGTCCATATGATAGATAGTTGTCCTGATATAAATGAAAACCCAAAATATAGCAATAAACATGAGGCAAAATTTTTTTCCTCTAAAATTAGCCCATAGTTGAGAACGGATATCTCGGAAACTAAGCGAGGTAATGAAATAAAGTATATAATTAATCATATTTCAAATTTAATCATCTTTGAAGAGACCTTCATCAGGGCTGTTCTCATGAGAAAGTTCCGTAATATAGCAGGCCTGAACTTGGGCCAAAACTGGCAAAAATAAATATAATGTATTTATTTTTACTTTGTTACTTTTTGACTTGACACCCCTACCAACTTCTCTTCAATATAACTTACAACAGTCAATTATTAATCTAATATTATAGTTACAGTTAGTTTCTATACTCACTGATAGCCCCTGACCAGGATTTCATAAAAATCAAAATGTCGAGAAAATAATAAATAAATTGTAAAATATTTGGCAATTGTCGGTGAAATAACGCATTTAAATATCAATATTTGTATGAAAGGAGCACGATGCTACAAACTTAAGATACCTTTTTTTTTTTTTTTTTTTTTTTCTGTTAGCAATACAAGCCATGTAGATCTTTTGGAGCCTTAACAATCCTGCTCCATCTCTGCATGTCTTAGGTTATTTCTTTCTTACCTTAATATACCTTAATATGAAATAGTATATTAAAATTTTATATCAACAAAAATAACATATTTATAATGTCAAGTAATTTTGCTATCTTCCTTTTTTTTTAAGATCATGTCTGTTTGCATGACAGTAGCAATAAAGGGAAAAATAATGAATTGATGTTGTTACCATTAAATTACCTCTTGTTTATCTGTTTGCCGGATAAATTCTTCAGCATCTCTAACATTTACAAATTGCACAAAGGCAACACCTCTGCTTTTTCTTGATACTTTGTTTTTCATGATGGTTATTCTAAAACAAAAATAGATTGACGGGGAAAAAATAAATCAGAGATGAATAATGAAATTAAACACATAAAAAAAATATAATTAAAATAAATACAAAGATCCTTTTTACATTCATAGAAAAGTTTATAAAGATCCGAGTCCACTGCTTCTTTTAAACTGAAATCATGTCCTTTCTAGCTGTTAGAAAAGCTACTATAAGTTATGTAAATAATATTTAAATATTAAAATATTTATTCTTCATAGAATAATGAATAGAAAATCAGAATGTGATTTTGAGTGAAATATAAGAAATGGAACAGAAGTCAGGAGAACTAAATATTGGAGGCTTACAGAAGATTTTGAAATATTTTTATTGAAGGGATACTGCTCAGGCAGACCAGGGCGTTGCCTGGGACGGCAATTTTCAAGGAATAGCAAAATTTCAATGAATTTGTATGTTTAGTTTTAAAAGAATTTGTAAGTATAAAAAACAGGAAAAACTATAAAAAATGGAACGGTCAGTACGGAATTTACAGTCTGTCCAGCTGCAAGGAAATCAATCATAAACTTCTCCCCAATTATTAAAAGGATTAGTGCATTAAGAGTTAAAGGTTGTTGGTTATATATCACAATCATTAATATGTATGCACCAACCATAGATAAAGATGAAGAGGTGAAGATGAAATGATTAATCAACAATCAAGGTAACTCTTTTATTGATGTGCATGTGTCCGTGTGTGTGTGATAACAATGAGTTCTAATATATAAGTAAAACTAATTATAAGGGAACATTAAGCAGTACAAAATAAATGAGCATGGCATATCACTTTGAAGGATTAATCAGCAAGATGTCTACGTACAGCATTCTCTTGCTTGACGCACGTAACAAAAAACCCACTGTTCATATTGAGAACAAAGATAGCACATTATTAACATATTAGTGCTAAATGCATCCAAAATTCAAGGAGTGATTATTGACCTGACAAGGTCAATCATAATGATGATTTAGGTACACAGTATCTAATGCACTGAAATATTAAAATTTATGTATCCTAAATCCAAGTTGAAATTGTATGAACATTCAGTAAAACTAGAAAAATATATATATAATTGTGAAATAAACCAATTTTGATCTTCAATAAAACACTTTATTGCAGTTATTATTACTGCACAAGCTTTAAAGAGAGAGCTGTGAAATAACATTTGAAAAAGAGCCATAAATAAGGAAGTTTCTTAATAGTTCAAAAAAAAAAAAAAAAAAAAAGGAAACAGAAAACAATATTTTATAAGTTATTTATGCATTTCTTCTGATGTCTTTCCTAATAGGAATGGTTATGGTAAAATGAAAGTTAGTTTCTGGGCTACAGGACCACATTTTTGACACCCCATTTTAAGAAAAACCAGACTATGAAAAAAACTTACCTCTTTCATATTGCTGATATATCTTGCCCACTGTATGGGTTCATCTTCCTGGCACTTCAGGAACAGAGCCCAGAAACTATCTTTTGTTTTACCAATAATGAAGGCCATGAGAGCCTAAAAATAAATATAATCTAATTAAAAAAACATAAACATTAACTTTTAGAAACCTTTTGAGTACCAAGGAATATTTAATAAATTACTAAATATTAACATAATTCTTCTAATAATTTCTTGATTTTAGGAAGTTATTAATTACCTAAAATATATTAAATGATCATTTTATGCATAATTTGAACAGATATAAATGCCAAGGTACGAAAAACAATGTAATTATAGATTCAATATTTGGTTCAGAAGAAACGTCTATATACTCAGAGGCCTATGGAGGGCCTCCTTCACGCTGATGTAGTCAACATGCAATTTAGACTCGATAACAAAACAACAGTAGTAGATTCCACCTTCCACTGAATAAATTACATCAATCATTTCTAATTAATCTCAGCTACAATTTGATCATTTTTGTAGATCTGAATGATAACTAATCTGGTACAGTGTGCGCATCACACACCTTTAACTTACCAATCTTAGAGTAGATAAGATAAATGTACCAGTAATGGACACTTTTAAATTCACCAACGACTAATGAACTTTTTACGCACTTTAGAGATTTTAAGTACAAATAGGTTTTTAGCTGGCACACTCAAAAAGATGATATCTGAACAACAGCCTATTTCATGCTCTAAGGGCCGCTTGGCAGTCCATTTTTTAATAAAACAAGACTAAGTGTTTTGTCACATAGAGAATGCCTTACCACTTTTGTTAAGGAGGTAAGTTTGAAATTGTATGCATATTTTGGAATAAGTTTAATTTATTAAACGGTACTTTTCTATTTCTTAATTAAAAAAACAGTGTAGAATTTATTTCTTAATCAATTATTTATAGATTTCACATCAATATATATTATATAAATGTATAATGTATAAATATATTTTAGTATTTATAGATTTCACATCAATATATATTATATAAATGTATAATGTATAAATATTTTGTTATTTATAGAGTTCATATTAATGTAGAAAAATTCACTTAAAGAGTCTATTACTGGTACACTTACCTTAGGTATTTTCTGATAGGAAGTTGAAATGAAAACATCAGCATAACTTTATTTAAAACAATCATTACCATGTTTTTACCAGCCATCAAATCAGTTAAATTTATACATTTGTATCACTTTCCATTTCCCACTAAGACTATGTAAAGTACCAAACAATACTAATGATTGTGGGAAAAATGGATCTTTTCTGAAAAGGACAGGATCGGCAAAGGTCGGGTGCTCTCGATTAAACAGCCAAGCTTCCTATATAGCTCAAACCGTATAGTTTTTACCAATATTTCACCTTTAGTTACTAATGAATTTTCTTCATTCACTAAATTTAACCATTTTTTATAGCAGATTCCAATGTGAAATGATTAATTATTTCAAATAAAATAAATTAAAGGTACATTAAAGCAAGAAATTTGAAATAATTGGCAGTTAAGCCCTGTCAGATTGCATTCATGAAGATAAAACTTACTTTAAATTAAAAACTGCTTAATTTTACAATGATATAATGAATTTAATCAAAATCATTAGAGCCGTTTTTCAGAAAATCGTAAAACTGCATTAAATCAATGATATAAAGTATCACTTCCGGTTTGCCGATTTTGACCAAAACGCTGCTACAACATCTCAGGCATATACAAACCTTAAATACGCAATTTAACAAACTGTAAGATTTTTTTTGAGCTAGACTGTTCACACACACAGGCACGCAAATACACACACACAACAAAATTTTGTCAGACTTGGTTATTTGGACTCAAGGAACTTCAAAATGTGTATTTCCGATTAAAACTCAAATTCGAAAATGTTCACGATCGCAATACTTACCCTTACTATATGTTACATATATAGGTAAGTGAAAGTAAGAATGCTAAGTAGAAATGTCATTATGCAAGTAAAATGGGAAAACAATCTTAAATGTGATTACAAGATATAACATAGAATTAAATAGTCCCATAGAATGGATTGTCTGGAAAATAATGTAGGATTTAGTGTTTTCTCTAAATACTCCTCTATATAACAAACTGTTTACGTTTACTGGATTATTCATTTGTATGAATGTCAACACTTATTAATCCTCTTCCAAATGATAATGTTTGTTTACCTCTGTAGCATGTCGCTGCTTAGAAATAATTCTGTCTTTACTAAGATGTCAACACATGATTTTCGTATAATTTTGTTTTACGAGTTTAAACCTGGCTGGAATGGGGTCCAGATGGCCAGAGATTTCAATCAAGTCTGTGGCGAGAGAAGCATTAATGAGTGCACTATTCAACAGGGGTTAAAAAAATTTCAGGATGGAGATTTCAGCCTTAAAGACAAAGGAGGTCATGGAAGGACTTCCTCTCTTGATGTTCTGCAGGCTTTGGTGAAAGAAAACCCCAGAACAACTGTTCGAGGACTTGAAGGGAAACTCAAACTTAGCAAATCGACCATCAATGACCACCTCAAGGCGATTGGAAAGGTAAAAAAAAAGTTGAGTTCCACAAACATTCAACAACTGCCAAAAAAACCAGCGTTATGAATTTTTGCTACACTTCTTTGCCAAAACAAAAACAACTCTTTTCTGTCCAGAATTGTTACTTGTGATGAAAAGAGAATATTTTATGATAACAGAAGGGGTTCTGGACAGTGGTTAGACAAAGGAGAAGCAGCAGAACATTTTCCAAAGCCCCCAACTCATCAAAACAATGCTTACTGTTTGGTGGGCTTCATTTGGTTTAATACACTACAGCTTCTTAAATCCTGGAGAAACCATCATTGCCGAATCGTATTGTAACCAAATTAATGCAATGCATCAGAAATTGGCAATAATGAAGTCATCTTTGGTCAATTGGAAGGGGCTCATCTTATTGCATGACAATGACCACATGTCTCATGTGTGACATCACAAAAACTGTTGGAGCTTGGATATGAAACTCTGCCACATCTGCCCTACTCTCTAGATCTCGCCTACAGATTATCATTTTTATTAGACACCTGGACCACTACTTACATGACAAAAAATTTAAAGGCCAACGGGTATTAAAAATGCGTTTTTACTAATTCTAAATATGGGAAATTCTATTCCGAGGGAATGGAAAAGTTGCCAACACGTTGGAAAATGTATTGATAGTAGTGGAGACTATTTTGATTAATTAAAACAGTTATAAAACTTTCTTTTTAAACCAAAATTCTGCATTATTTTCTGGACAACCCAATACATCAGTACAGAGTTGATACAAACTCAGTATTATAGATCATTTCACCAAAAGTGTTCCAAATGTTTCCCTAGTCTGCACTCAGATCACTATCCTACAGTTAATGAAAATAGTCAAAAATAAAACTATGACAATATTTTATTTTAAAAATTTTAACTGGTTGAATAATGATCTATGTTATATTTTTTCCAAAGATTTTTGTTTGAATTACCATTCCATAAGATATTGACAGAATTATGATCTATGCCACTTTCAAAAAAAAAGGGTGTCAGAGATCAATTTTATCAATTTTCAATA